ATGGTCTCAGGAGGAAATCAATAAAGCACTAGAGGACATCATCCGGATCCAAGCTCTCAAGGATCGCCCTGATCTAATACGTGTAATTTCTCCTCTTTTTTTAGAAGGAATCATCCGTGATCATGAGATTATCCCACTCATGTATTACGATATTCCCACCAATGATTCCAAACAACTGGATCTTCTTCTCTCTCCCTACAACAAATTCTACACCAAGTTTGCTCATCTTCACCGATCAGACGATCCGGAAGTAATCCTCCGGACTGAGTGAGAAAGACTTACAAGCACACACGACCTCTCAAGGAAGTGTGGACGAGGAAGAGAATTACTAAAGTTGATGGTTTCGGAAGAAATTTTTGGTAAAATTCGATCAGAGCTGCTTACTATTCCGATTTCATGTCCTCCGGAACAAGCCAACTCCCCGGACCATTTCTGATGTGAATTTCCCTTCGATGAATCCGAACGACATTCTCACACTGGCTGGTTACTTCATAGGGATTCAAAGATATGACATCAGTATAGGTGCATATCACACAGCTATGAACTTTCTTAAAGATTATGTCGCATAATTTTGCAAACACGACTATGAGATTGTGCACCTATACGGAACTGAAAACTTTGTGGCAAAAATTAGTTATGTTCTTCCGGAAGCTGAAATGCTTGTTGATGGTCCAATTGAAGAACCGATTCTAGGGTTTGTCTACACTACCAGGAAAATAAACAAGAAGGATTTTTTTCCAAGTCCTTGACAAACACCTGGTTCCTACTAAAGCCCTAAAGAAGTTCATTTCATGTTCCTCCAAATTAGAAGCTCCAAAACAAGTCAAAGCCAAATTTGTAAGTCATCTATCCTGGTACATTGCAGTTTGAGAATGGTTGCTCAGATCCCACACCTTCATCAAAAAAGATGTTGTTTAAACTGTATGGATTGCTAAGTTCACTTAGGGGGAGATTGTTGGAACCTGAAAGTGAACCCTTAGCAATCCTAAGCTTAAATTCCAAAGTAGAGATATTCCGAAATTGATGATGGTCCGGAGTGAAATATGAAGAGTGGTCCAAAATTTGTCCGGACCAAAAGAGGAGAAGAAGAAGAAAAGTTAACGTGAATACATTCCAGAATGACTCTCATGTCCGGAATGGGTGCTGATCCGAAATCACCTTGTTTTGTCTTTATGCATTTACGAATTTTGTCTTTGTATTGATGTAACGTTTCATAAGACCTAGTTTTATTGTAATATTAGACAATCAGAATGTCATAAACATTTCTATTGTCCAATCCTATGTAAGCTTTCCAGTTAATTTCCTGTAACCTTCTCTCCTATTTATAGGAGCTTTGAATGCAAAGTTAAGTACGGATCATTCACTCAACTTTTGGATTTTACTAAGTTGTTTCAAACTTCTTTCAAAACATTCTTCTTGTTCTTCATTTATTAGCTTTACTTTGATCATTTATTCTCATTCTTCATTTAATGACTTGATCATTTGTTGAAAACATTATCTAAGACTTGACTGGTCCTTCCAGACTTTAGTTGAACATATATTAGCAAGTAGACATTGATCTTAAGCATTCACTCAAAGTTTGAATTCTCAAACCTTGTCCCTGCACATCAAACCGTTCTTATTCTATCAAGCATAAAAGCACACCCCAAAAATTTTCAATAAGTCCAAACCCATCATGAACCGGATCCACTTCGGAATCTCCAATCGAATCATCTCATGTACTTCAAATACTCGAGGTCAATTCGGTCTTCAAGTCTGCGTAATATGAAAAATTCAACTTTCGAATTTCCATATAAATTTCTCCCCCTTTTTATAAGCGAAAATTGATTATAAAACCAAAAAGGAATGAGAAAGTGCTCAATTCGGAATTTTTCTATCTAAAACTCCCTATTAACACATGGCATAAACATTTTGCTTCAATCCGGAAAAGCCAAAAAAATCTGCAATTTTTAGCTTCGTTCACGGACCGCCTTTGACAAAATTTCTCAACATTGGGTAGAAATTGTCAATTTCAAAATTCTATAGTCACCCGTTGTGCCCAAAACAACCAAAAATGCGAAACATTCCCCCATTTGCGAAACAGAGTAGAAAGCGTCAATTCGCATTAACTGTAGGGGCTTGAAATGTACATTCTTCAATTTCTCAGAAAATCAGCCCATTTTCGAATTTGGGTATGGTCTGCCAAAATTTTGAAACTTCAGGTACAGTTTTCGAAACTTCTACACACATCTTCAAACTTTCGAAAGTTTAGTCATTATTTTGAAAGTGGGTGCAAAGTGTCAATCTTTCGAAACATGAAAGACTAATTTCAAAATTTCTGCTCCATTTTTGAAATGTGTATAAAGTGTCAAGATGTCGAAATCTGAAAGACCAATTTCGAAACTTTCCTTTGCTTCCAAATTTTCGAAATTTTGTCCAACTTTCAAATGTAGGATTAAAGTGTCAAACGTGCGAAACTTTAATGTCCACTTTTGAAACTTTTATGTTTTCTTTCTCAATTGGTTTTCCAGGTAACGAATGTTTCCAACTACTACAAAACCTTCGTAACATTGACACAAAACCTTCATTAGGTGAAATTCGTTCTAACAACCATATTTTCGTTAGTTGATACTAGCCATCGACACTTTATAAAAGTCTTCGTACATTGGACACCATATTCATTTCCATTCAAAATATTCATTATTAACACCTTCGTTTTTCAAACACCAAAACACTATCATCACTCATCTTCGAAATCACAAGCAATCCAAATCTTCGATTCTTTAACCCAAACAATTTCTCCATTGAAGAGCAACCATCGAACCAACATCGATTTCAAATAACAAAAATCAATTTCGAAAAAGACTTCAGTCAAATGTCGACAGATTCAAGAATCAATTTTGACTTCAAGCAATACACATCAACCAAACTTCTTCAATCCAAAGTCAACTTTAAAACACTCTATGCGAATCGATCATATCCAACTTATCCATTAACTGTTTTTGAAATCAATCAACCCAAGTGTCAATCATTCAACATCCAAGAACACAAATGTTGACTTTTTGATTTTGAGTTTTGTGGTGAATCAGAATCAAAAACTACGTCAAAAATCAGACATCCATCCCAATCCAGTTCGATATTAACGTTCGCATACGAACATCGACAAACACGAAATCAATAATATTCAGAACAATTTCAGATCAAACCCAAAACATCCCGTTCTTCAACTGTTCTTCATCAATTTCAAGTGTTCTTGACCAATTTCATAAAATCAAAAATCAACTATCGATTTCTATAGTAAGATTTAAATAAAATCGATTTGAAGATCGAACACACAATACAAAATCGATTCAGAAGGCTATTTTATCAATTAAACAAACAACAATCGATCATCCAGATTGATAAAACTGATGAAATCGGAACATTGGAAACAAAATCACAACAAGAGTCAAGAACATACAACACTTTTGTGTGAATGATAAAATCGACTCAATTAACGAATCTTAGAATCCGGATAAACTTAATCACCTCTTGAGCTCAACAATGAATTCGGATCTCGAAAATGGATATGAACTCAAAATTGATGAACAGTAAACATTCGACATTTGGGCTCAATGAATTGGACATGAACAGTAAACATATTTAGAAATTCTTTTTGGGCTCAATTAACCTTGTGAATAATAAAAGATTGACGATTTTTTGATTAATTTTGGTTTTCTAGAAAAATAGTTAATCAAATGATTTTGAATTTGGTTTGGGCTTGATCAAAGTAAGAAAATAGATTGGATCTACAATTGGGGTTGAAACAAATTCAATCCAACCGAGACAAAATGATCAAAAATTCAAGAACGTAACACACGAATCAACGAGATTTCGAGAGATCATACAATGACTCACCATAAATGCTCCAATTGTGACGAATTTAGCCAAACCAAGAATCATTTCTTCAAAAATTCATGTTGATCTTCGAAGATCCGCTCTGATACCAATTGATGTGAATTATGAACATTGGTTTGACATGTGGAATTAAAGAACATACAAAGAACACGGTGATTTTGATGTTTAAGAGATGCATTTGATTATGAAAGATGTTACAAAAATGGATCTATATCTAAATCTACATAATTAACACACCAACACTCTCAATTTTACATCTCTACTAGTGGTATGAACCCACCTTATATAGAGGTGTTTATCTCTCTCTCTCTCTCTCTCATGTCACAAGGCTAATTTACCACATGCAAGTGGGTCTACAAAAGTCAAACCATTTACAAAGTCATACATGGATAACTTTGTACCCAACAATTTTTGGCAAACATTAAGGGGGAGTATTGTGAAGATTAATCCTCAAGCGCTTCTCACCCTTAATGGGTTTTATAATCATTTTTTTTATTATAAAAAGGGGGAGAATGAAGAGTGGGTATTTGAAGCTTCGGGAATTCATTTGCGGATTTGAAGACCGGTGTTACTTCGAGGGGGAGTTTGGTCTTGATCGCGCGAGCTCTTTGGATATTGAAGCTGGGACATCCATGTGGTTTGGGTAAAGTTGCAGTTTGCCAGTAGAGTTGCACGTGGAAAGTGTCGTGAATCTGCCCCAACTCTTGCACAATTATGCCTATTAATTAATGACTTAGGAGGGTAACTACCTATTAGCGTTGTTCACATATTGACAACTTGTTTTTTTTGTACCTAATACACCAACTAAGTTGTTTTAACTGTTTACATTATAACATTATTACCGGCTAACCACCATTTTAACTAGTAAATGCAATTAATTCATTTAAATGAAAAGGAAAAGAAAATACGTGGCTTATGACGTGGCTATTTCACCCTTTGTCTGTATTCGACTTCATTTACACATATCGGTCTAATTTATTTAGGGTTCTTAATCTTAACAACTACTCCCAAATCATTCCCCAAACCGATCATGGTTACTTAAGTTTTCTCAGAATTCAGTCGATCGAAACGGTAGGAACTAAAGTTCGGACTTGAAATCGTCTAACGATACGTATCTCACTACAATGGAAGCATCTAACAATAAGTATCTCACTATAGATTTTCACTTCAACGGCATGTTTGCACCAAACCCGTTAGTGTACTTAGACCCTATGAGAATGTCAGTTCGTGATGTGGATTTTGGTGGCATGGACTACAGAGAATTTGTGTTGTGGGTTTCAAAGCTGACAAGATGAAGCTGTGAGAACTTGTACTATTGTAGTACTCATGAAAGATTGGCAGAGGGTATCAGAAGAATCGACAATGACGCTGAATATTTTGAGTTTATTGAAGATGGTTACATGGATAAGCAGGAGCTAAGGATGAATGTGTACATTGACCACGAAAACGAACCCATTCTTGACTGGGTCGATAAGGAGTTGTTAACAGGTGATGAGTTGTCTGATGTAATAGAAGATGATGATACAGAGTCACAAATTTCAGATATAAGGGAATGTGAGCATGAACCTGATGAAGAGGTGCATACATTTGACAAAACAGATGATGATGAATTCTTGAACAAGTTATGTGGTAAACCCATTCTCAATAGTAATCAAGAAGAAGTAAATGATGTTGATGATGATGAAGATAGGGATAAAGATGATGAGGTTGTGTTCCCTGTCTTTGATGAGAAGCAAGAATGGGATAAAATGGTCCCAGTTTTAGGTATGAAGTTTGCCAACCCTCTTGAATTGAAGCTTTGTCTAACCAACTATGCTGTCAAGAATGGGTATGACTTATGGTTTGAAAAAAATGATCATCAAAAGCTGTTGGCAAAATGTTGTAAATATAAGAAGAACAAGAAGAGTAAGAGTTGTCCCTTTAGGTTGTGGGCAACCTGGATGAAGAATGAGAGGTCTTTTCAGATTAAGTCATTAATTGTTAGGCATAATTGTGCAAGAGTTTTCAAATTTGGGTCCATTGTAAGCCACAAATGGATTGGAACTCATTTCATGAATGATATAATACAGAAACAAAAGATGAGCATTAGGAAATTGAAAGCTAAGGTCAGTAAAAGGTTTAACCTGATAGCTAGTGTTGGACAATGCAGAAATGCTAGGAAATATGCATTTCAGCAGATAGAAGGTACTTTAATAGAGGATTATGCTAAAACATGGAGTTATGGAGAAGAGCTAAAAAGGACAAATCCTGGATCAACAGTTAAGATGGAGGTTGATGTGATGCCTGATGGAGAAACATACTTCTCAAAGTTTTATGTGTGTTTAAAGGGTTTGAAGGATGGATGGATAGAGGGTTGTAGGAGGGTAATTGGAGTAGATGGTTGTTTCTTAAAGGTCATATGCAGAGGTCAGTTGCTTGCAACCATTGGGAGGGATGCAAACAACCACATATATCCTATTGCATGGGCTGTGGTTGTAGTAGAAAATAAAGAATCATGGAAGTGGTTTCTTGATCTTCTAATTGATGACATTGGAATGGGAGTTGGGCATGGACTAACCATAATATCAGACCAACACAAAGTAATATTCACACTTCAATTATTGTTATTTTCCATACTTATTTTCCATACTTATTTTCCATACTTAATATGTTTTTGCTTATGCTGTTTATGTTTTGATTATAGGGATTAGTTGAAGCTGTAAAGGAAAGGGTTCCAGCTGCAGAGCATAGGCAATGTGCTAGGCACATATGTGCTAATTTCCAAAAAAGATTTAAGAGGCAAATGTTTAAGAAACTGTTTTGGAGAGCTGTTGGATCTACAGTTCCACAAAAATTTGAATACCATATGAATGAAATCAAGAAGCTGGAGCCACTAGCTTATGAACATTTGATGGAAAGGGACCCTAAAACATGGTGTAAAGCATTTTTCAGGTTGATAGGAGTTGTGATGCATATGAAAATGGTGTTTTTGAAAGTTTTAACTTTGTGATTGAAGCTGCTAGGAAGAAACCACTTATTACCATGTTAGAAGAAATCCAGATTTATGTAATGGAAAGGTTGTGTATATACAAGGCCAAGGGTCAATCTTGGGATTTAAGCATATGTCCTTCTATAAGGTTGAAGTTGAATAAGCACAAGGAAACACAAAGGTAAATTCTTATTGCTTATATGTTTGTCATTTTTAATATTTTCTAATTTGTATATGATTATGGATAGGTTTTGGCAAGTGGTACCTTCTGTGTATATGCAATTTGAGGTGAGGGTGGGGACTGAAGGGTATGCTGTAGACCTGAATACTAGGCAATGTGGATGCAGGGCATGGCAGTTAGTAGGGACCCTGAGGAGTAAGTGTTAGAGTGGTTTACTACATCAATGTATGCAAGTTGTTATAGGTATAATATTAGGCCACTAAACTGTAGTGCTATGTGGCCTGAAGTGGATTACACCAAACCATTGCCCCCTAAAAAAAGAAGACTACCTGGAAGACCAACAATGAAAAGGAAAAGGGATCAGGTTGAGAGAGAAGCTAAGGAACAAGGCATACAGTCTCAAAAAAGGGAATGATCATGAGATGTACCATTTGTAGGGAAAGAGGACATAACAGATCAACATGTCCTCAAAGACCAAATGATGTACCATCTACTTCAGGTTCTAACAAAAAGAAACCTAAGAAACAAGGTATGGTGTTAAATTATCTAATATATTATACTTGTGTGCCATTTCTAATTTTTTTCCCTTTTACAGGTAAAGTAGACCTTGAAGCTGAATTGGAAGTGGAACATGTTGTCATGTTTGAAAGTGAAAGTGATAGTGACTTTGAAAGTGAAAGTGATGTGGAAGCTAATGTTCCTGAAGTTGATGTTCCTGAACCTGATGTGGAAGCTGAAGTTGATGTTCCTAAAGTTTATGTGGTACCTGAAGTTGAAGTTGATGTTCCTTTAGTCCAAGATAACCTTGTAGGGGAGATTCAAGATGACATTCAAGTTGATGCTAACATAGAAGATGAGATTCAAGCTAACATTGAAGTGAAACATGAAATTGAAGTTCAAGATAATGTGGAACATGAAATTCAACACAATGTAGAAAATCCAGTTAGGAAGAGGACAAGAAAAACTTCAAAAAGACTCATAAAGATTCAGTTAAGGAAGAACATAAGGAGGAAGGAAGGAAGCAGTACTGACCACCCACTGGAGATTTGAATTCAATGTGTTGTTTTATTTTGCATGTTTTGGAATCTTGGGTCTTGTAATATTGTTTGGCACAATAGGACAAACTTGGCACATCTTTTGGAATGTTTTGATACTTTAACATCATGGGTCCTGTATGTTTGGGAATATTTTGGTACTTTAAGTACATGTTAATTTTAGTACATTTTTTACCCTCCCAAGTCATTAGGGGTATTTTGGTACTTTAAGTACATGTTAATTTAAGTACATGTTTACCCTCCCAAGTCATTAGGGGTATTTTGGTACTTTAAGAACATGTTAATTTAAGTACATGTTTACCCTCCCAAGTCATTATTATTTAAGTACATGTTTATTATGTGTTTGTATACATTACATGTTTACTGTCTTAATACATCAAACTCCCAAGTACATGTTTACTGTTTAATACATGTTTATTTATGTGTTTGTATACATTACATGTTTACTGTCTTAATACATCAAACTCCCAAGTTACATGTTTACTGTCTTAATACATGTTTATTTATGTGTTGATATACATTACATGTTTACTGTCTTAATACATCAAACTCCCAAGTTACATGTTTACTGTCTTAATACATGTTTATTTATGTGTTTGTATACATTACATGTTTACTGTCTTAATACATCAAGTATTAAACATCAAACTTTAGTCATAACTTTCATTGCATACAAAACTTCATGAAGTACATGATTTAGTCAGAACACATCAAAGAAGAATACATCAAACAAGAGTACATCAAACAGGATACAAAGAACACATCAAACTTTAAAAAATACATGTTTAACATAAAAGAAAAATAACACAAACAATGCAGCTTTATGAGTAAACAACTTCCACTTCACTTTGTCCAGTTCTTGTCTGAAAACTAAATTAGAGTTATTCTCTTCTTCCAACTTCTTCCTGCAATAACTAATTTCGTTTTCCAAATTTCCAAGCTTGAATGTTATGTTGTAGATTTGTCCCAAATCACTGTTCTTCTGTTGTTGGTACTCGTCGTCTTCCAACCATTCCCAGAAATTACATCTTGGAGTTCTTGCACTCTTCATGAAAGGATAAAAAAAATTGAAAAGAAGATGAAGAAGATTCAGTTCCGGGTTGAATAAATAAAACATATTTACCAAAGAATTTTGACAAACTCGAAATTTTCTTCCTGGATTATCGGGTGTTCTTGAAATCTTCACACGATATGGCATGTCGCACTTACATGGATGGTCAGCTTGGAGTTCAACATTTCGTTTGGAAGAAGCAGATGAAGCAGAAGAAGAAGCCATTGTCGGTCTAGGGCTTCAACGACAAACACCCTCTATATAATAAGTGAGGTATAAATAGACACGTAACATGCCACGTATAATCTTCTGGAGTCACGTATTTTCTTTTCCTTTTCATTTAAATGAATTAATTGCATTTACCGGTTAAAATGGAGGTTAGCCGGTAATAATATTATAATGTAAACGGTTAAAACAAGTTAGTTGGTATATTAGGTACAAAAAAAAAAAAAAAGTTGCCAATATGTGAACAACGCTATATAATTACCCTCCTAAGTCACATTTAGTAATTTGTTCTTAAACACGATCACCTCACCACCACTTTAGCCCTACCAATTTCTACATCCCATCACCGTAAATCAGTCATCTCACCCGCAAATCAATAATGAAACCCTCGTCTATCACTTCCCATACTAGGGATGGCAACGAGGCGGGTTTGGGATGGGTTTTGGTAATCCCGCCCCCATCCCCGAATATGAAAATCGATCCCATCACCGGCTCAATTCCCAACGGGTATCCGTTTACCAAACACTATCGGGTCTGCGGGTATCCCAACGGGGTAACGGGGATCCCCGTTTAACATTCAAATTAAAAATAATTTTGATGAAATGGGAATACAAACCATTAGACTTAGTGATGCAAACATAAATTCACATCCAAAATAATTTTGATAATTTACAAAACTACTAAGAGCATACATATTTGTTTTGATACATAAGTGGTTACTAGTGGCAACAAAAATAATAAAGACACTAGCATTCATAAACCATAATATCACTATTACTCTAAGTAATATGAATAAAAAAATATCAAAACACTAGCATTACAAATAAACATGAAACTATCTCAAGAAATTATCTTTAAATCGTTCACAACAAAGAAGATAACTCAAAGAAATATATATATAATATATATATATATATATATATATATATATATATATATATATATATATATATATATATATATATATATATTAACGGTTTCAGGTAACGGGTTTCGGTTTTGGTTTTGATTTCGGGCAATCGGGACGGGTATTTTGTTTACCGTTCCCGTAACCAAACCCACGAAAATTTTCTAAAAGCATACCAAACCCGATCCCAACCTCAATTAACCGACCCCAAACCCAACCCTAATATGTCGGTTTTCGGTTTTCACCATCGGGTTCGGTTTCTTTTGCCATCCCTATCTCATGCCCCTTTTCCCACTCAATTTTGTTCTCTCCGTTGACCCATCTTCTCTCTCTAGTTTCTATCTCTACGCCATCACCGCCATTTCTTCGTTTCTTCTCCGTTCTTTGTAATTCCTGCACTCCTTCTCCTACCACTGTAAATATCAAAGTGCCCCAAGAAAATCTTGTTATTAAAGACGATGTTGCATATGAGACCTTTGAGGTTGAGGTTGGGAATCCTAGGTTTCCGTCTTATCCATTGCCGCCTGGATTAAGCTCAAGCGATCAGTCTTTCTTTCTTTTAACTTTCATCGCTTGCACGGGGATTCCTCTTTTGTCCTTTTCCTTTACTGTAGTTATCGGTGATGTTAATCCCATGGTGGTGGAAGTGAACCGATTGGGTTTAAATGATGCTAGAATGGAGTTTACTCTGCTTAATCGCACTAACAATATAATAGTTATTTTACTTAAAATTGTTGGGAATTAGATTCAGGTTATTGATAGATCATAAAGTATTGATTTTTAGCTTAATGTGTGATGTATGGTATGCAGGCTTAGCTGCATTCACAGGCTTTGTCATGGCAGCTGTTCCGACACCATATATAAGTTTTTAGCTTTCCCTGATCTGATATACTGTTTTGATATTAGATTCTTGATTTTGTGGGGTGCACCATATTATACTAATGGTGTTTGCTGCAATCTTGTTAAAGGTCACTTTGGATGCATTTTAAAAGTGTATTTTATATGGGTAAACAAAATGAAGTTTTGCAGTTAATTATATTTTTTACAATAGAAGGAAAAGATACGTCAACTGATTTCATGATATCTTTTACAGAGGGAACCCATTGTCTTTTTTTCTACTAAAAAATCATTGATTATGATGATCTATTTAAAAATGTGAAGTGGATATATCTTCAGAAGATCACATCTGTTGTGTATATCCAGTTTGAAAATATCAACCGGAAGTTCCTTAGGAAATTACATCTGTTGTGTATATTGGTAGAAATAGCTAAGCAGGTTGTTCCTTGTTGCAATAAAAAATCATTGATTTTGATGATGTGAAATCGACTCATTTTTTACTCAAATTGTCAAGTGGATATTTCTTTAGCTTTTGGTAAGTTTGAAAGTTTTATGGAAAATGACATCTGTTGTGTATATGCTAGAATTAGCTAAGCAAGTTGTTACTTATTGCGATAAAAATTCATTGATCTTGATGATTTATATTGCCAATGTCAACTGCATATATATATATATATATATATATATATATATATATATATATATATATGTATGTATGTATCATTGACTTTTTCAAGCTACATACATTTTATAATAGCAAATCAACATGTTTTGACATAGTCGCTTCTTGAGGTTTAGGTTAATTGGTATTTTCTTGGAAACTCACATTTCTCAGTCTCGCAGTATATAGTTCATTTCATTGTGGTGCTGAAACCACATCACATACATTCTATCTAAACAAATCAACTTGTCAATGGCATCTTCATCATCTTTTCGCTCGACTCCAGCCTTCTCTTCTCAATCATGGAATCATGATGTTTTCCTTAGTGTTAGAAGAGAAGATACCCACAAGACTTTTGTTGAACATCTCTACTCGGCTCTTGTCCTACAAGGAATCGAGACTTACAAGGATAACGAAACAGTTGATCAGGGTGGATCGATCCGTCCATCCCTTATGAAGGCTATCGAGGAATCACAAATAGCTGTTATCGTATTCTCTGAAAACTATGTTGATTCACCTGGGTGCTTGGATGAACTTACACATATTATGAAATGCAAGGACATGAGAGGGCAAATCATGATGCCCATATTTTATGATGTGGAAGTGCGAAAGCAAAAACGGAAATACGGAGAAGCATTTGCTGAACATGAGTTGGAGAACAAAGTTGAATCCTGGAGAAAAGCACTTGTGGATGCAAGTAACCTTTCTGGATGGGAACCCATGAACATTGCCAACGGGTAATTCTCCCCTTTCTGTTTGCACTTTTTACACTTAAGATATGTGTGCTCTAAAAGATATTCTATAATTGTACTTTATAAGCTTAATTTCATTTAGTTTTTCTTGATGATATGATGCCCTTGATTTAAAAAAAAAAAAAAAAAAAAAAAACAGAGGCTTTGACTAGATCAATTGATCGGTTCGGTCTGTTAAAACATATCTCAAGTTTTAGGATTATTGATAAGCTAAAATTAAGTTATGATGGACTTTATTAAGTTCTACCTCAATTTCCTTACTTAAAGCCTTGCTTGAAGCTAGAATAACAAATCCACCATGCTTTCGCTTTCAGTTGTTTGAATTATTCAATGTGATCATGTCTTAATTATCCCTCTTTCCAATCTGTAGGCATGAATCAATGGCTATCAAAGAAATTGTCGACAAGATTTCATCCAGGTTGCAACTAGTAACTTCAAATGCAAATGAGAACCTGATTGGAACAGGGGCTCGGGTCCATGGTCTTGAATCAAACCTACAACTTTGGTCAGGTGCGCATGATAGGAATATGGGGGGTTGGGGGTGGTGGTAAGGCTACTCTTGCATCTTCTATATATGGTTGTTGCTTTATTGCAAATATTCGAGAGGAATCAAGAAGGCATGGTTTGGAAACATTGCAAGAAAAAATTCTTTCAAAAAATGGAAGCAAACAACATTGGAGGAGTAAGAGGTTGCGCCATGGAAAGGTCCTTATCTTTAGCTGGATCACCTGATTGATTGGTTCAGTGAAGGAAACCGAAATGCCAAATAATAATCACAACCAGAGATGAGCATTTATTAAAAGCTCACATAGTTTTGGCACAAGATATTAGTTTGTTTAACGATGATGAGGCTATTGATCTTTTTTCGCAAGCATGCACCTTGGGATCACAGATTTTTGGAAGATTATGAGCAGCTTTCAAAAGTGATGGTCTCTTATATTGGTGGGCTTCCATTAGCACTTACAGTCCCCATTTCTTTTCTGTGTGACAAAAACATTCAACGGTGGAGGAGTGCATTAGCGAGACTAAAAGAGATCCAAGATACTAAGAGTCTATTTAGTTACAGAAAAATAGTCTTCATCTTTTGTTTTCAGTTTTCTGTTTTTGGATTTCATTGGAAAATTTAGAAAATGTGCTTAGTTAAAACTTATTCCTTTTTCATTTTCTGTTTTAGAACATTAGAAAACATGTTTAGATTTGCATTCTTCTATCGGTTTTTATTTTCCAATTTTTGTTATTTTAACCAACACCACACACACCCACAACCCCACTCACACTACACTCCACCCATCCCACCCTACCTCATCCCACAATACCTTACTCCACCCTACCCACCTTACCCCACCACATCTCATATCTACCCATTCCACCCCACCCCACCGATCCCTACCCACCCTACCTACCACCCTTACTCTCTACCCACCATGCCCACCCACACACACATTTAATATAAGAATCAACATAAAATTCAATGTATCATTCAACTTTAAAATGAAAATTTATAATAAGACAAATTTTACCATTTTAACGGTATCAATATTGTGAACGTCCCTGGTGACATAAAATTCAATGTATGATTCAACCTTAAAATAAAAATTTCTAATAAGACAAATTTTACCATTTTAACGGTATCAATATTGTGAACGTCCCTGGTGACAATGTGTATGTCTTTCTCATAGCACATACACAGTTGAATCTCTCCAACTTGAAGCATTTCATCATGATTTGTCATATCCAAAGGAACCAAAGGAAAACCCTCTTGATCTGCATTAAAGTCTTATGTGAGGTCTTGAAAAATTTCACCACCATACATTAGTATAAAACCGACATTTGGCAACAATTTCTAAAAATAAGGTGATGTCGATTACATATTTCTCGAAGTTAACGGTCATAAACTAATTTCTATGATGGTTTCCATGAAGCCTTCATGGAAACAAACCTAGAAATTAGTTTAGGACCGTTAACTCAAAACGAGTAACAACTGTAAATCAGACTTCACACATTAACATCGATTTTACATGAGACTAGTGACAAGTAGTGCCACGATCGAATATCCATCGCCAAATGTCATCTTTTATAATGGTTTTTATTTGACATGTACATTTATCTTGTGTCGGTTATTAAGTGAAACGTAAAGACATATAAGGTGACGTAGTTTAATCTTAAGTGATTAAATTTTATATTAGAATGTATCATATGAAAAAAAAAGTTGTGACAAGTAGTGTAATGGTCGAAAACGATGGCCAAATCTTAGCTTTTATAACGGTTTGTTATTTGATATGTACATTTACCTTGTGTCGATTGTTAAGTGAGACCTAAAGAGATACATAGGGTTGAAGTTTCATTTAAGTGATTAAATCTTATATTGAAATTTATTATAACATTCTGTTTTGAAAAGTTTCCTATTTCGGGATTTCGGGCTATAAATGGAGTGAGTTAAGACTTTAGGCTTCAAGGGAATGGGGTTTAGACCTTACTGGATGATGATAATGTTGATTAAGTGATTAAAGCCTTCGATTTGTGCTTGGAAGAAAAAGAGTAGTAATATGGGAAAATTAATATTTCGGGCTTCTTGCATGGATTATGGTTTTAGTTTGACATGTATCAAGTAAGAAGTAATGAGATAGGGTTGTGAAGACCGTCAATACCTTTCCGTGGATATAATGATCGCTGAAAATGGAGTTGAAACAAAGAATTTATAGTTGTTTGAAATTGGGGTCGGTTTGTGTGAAAAGTTGTGGCCACGGCATGTGGATTAGTCAGGCCCAAGCCCATGATCTTTTTAGGCGTTTCAACATATTTAAGCTTAATGTTCTGCAATTTGGGAATTTTATCAGCATCCATCATCTCTAGAACCCCTTGGGAGAAACCCTAGCCTCCACCTTCAAGATTTGAGCTTCTTCCTTCTCTTTTCTCCTCTTTTGGATGCTTTTTATGTTAATTTGATGAAATAAGAAGATCAAGAAGGTTCTTTTGGTTGCAAGGAATGATGTTTCAAGTTTAGATCCATCAAAGACACCACATTTTTGGACTATTGTAAATATAAAGTTCCATTCTTGCTTTCTAGTTCTTTAGATCTTCTTATTTGGGATTTTGGCACTTTTGGTCCATTTTATGGGAGATCTTGGAGTTGGGTTGACTCCAACATCTTTTGATCATCTTAGAATGCTTTTTGGACCTCATTGGCTAGGAAAGTTGTGATCCTTGGTCTTCCCTTTTAGCCATGCAAGGTATCTTTGTCCTTAAGTCTATTTTGGTGTATTAAAGTTTAGATCTTGGATGATTGTGGAATTGTTATGGATAAAGTTGGAAACTTTATCCATCAAGACATCTTCTTGATTCAGATCTAAAAGTTGGAGACTTCGAATTAATGGATTAAGTTGAGAAAGATGCATTTTAGGGTCACTTTGAGGCTTAAAGTCTTCATCTTGGTGGTTTGGATCTACCTAATGGATAAAGTTAGAAACTTTATCCATTAAGACCTTGGAAAGGATCAAATATGAGCTTTGGAGCTCTTGGAATCAAAAGAAAATGGATTAAGCTCGTTTGAGTTGTTCAGACCAGTCCCCACGACATGACCTTAGGCTACCATTAGTTCATACTCGGGGTAAAAAGACCATTTCACCCCTAACCTAGCTTGGTCTAAGACCAAGGCCCAAACTTACACTCTGAAGGACCAAAAGCCAAAAAATTAACGAAGGCCTAATTTTGGTCCAGTTATCCAAATTAGTCCCAAATCCCTCACATGGGCCTTACCCCAAAGCACATCCAAACATTCTAGTCCATATACTTGTTCTTGGATGGCCCATTAAGAGCCTATACACCTAAGCCCAAAAGAAAAGGCCGAACGCGAAGCCCAACATAATTAGGGTTTTCACATAAAATGATGATTAGGGTTAAGTGTTCTCACTTAACCCATTAAGAACTTAATCCATTAAGTCCATCACTCCATTAGGCCAAACATACAATGTAATCGGGCATAAGTAATAACTCCAATCTACTGGTCCAAATGCGGGTCCCGATAATTCTAAAACTAACATATCCAAAATTAGGGTTTTATAAACCCTACTTAGGGTTTCCAATCCAATCGCGTGCCAATTAGTTCCAAAGTTAAGATTTTAGATTAATTAGAGTTTCACTAGGATGGGCACCACCCACTGCCACCTCGGACAATGGTGGTCGATGGTGGCTCATGGCGGCAAGGTGGTGGTGGGGGTTTTCCTTGACTTTTCTCTAGCCAAAACACCCAATCAACATCTCAAGATAAAGTAAACGTACTCACACACACACACCTAATGACACACACACACAACCACCCACATGGTGGCAGGCGGTAGCAAACGATGGCAACCACCACCTTATGGTGGTGATAGTGGGTTTTTTGACCAAATAATGCACATACTATACCACGAGTTCCAAAACTAGCCCATGCATGCGAACAAATACACATTTAGCCACCTACAAGGCGGCAGGGCCGAAGCTAAAAGAAACGGTGCCCGAAGCTGGCAGCGGCAGCAGGTGTTGAATTAGTGTCTAAGTCCATAACTACAATTGGTGTGTACTTGACCCGATTTGGCATGGTCCATTTGGGTTGCATGGCATCAGAATAATTGGATAGACAAAATGAGAAAAATGATACTAGTGATTTATATTAATATGTTATAAGTTCTAATATATTAATATGAAATTGTATTATTTAATTAGTATTGATCAAGAATTAATTTAGTGATCAAAAGGAATTAATTAAATATGGACTCATATATATATATATACACATATATATATATATATATATATATATATGTGTGTGTGTGTGTGTGTGTGTGTGTGTGTGTGTGGTGGGCCAAGTTCATTTAGGTTGGGCTAAGCTTTCATGGATAGTTCATGGAGTGTTTAACCCATGGATCCTATTAAAATGAAAGGTCATGGGTATTAGGGTTTACATGAATGTAACCCTAATCCTCCACACTATATAAAGAGGTCCTTGGTTCATGAAATGGGCACTAGTGCATAAAAAAGAGGGCAAGGCTGATTTCATAAGAGGGAACCTAAGTATCCTTATTCTTTAGTTATTCCAAGTGTTTTTGGTGTTGTGTGATTCCATTTGAGGTGCAACACTTTGGGCACTAAGCTCTTAAAGGTTCAAGACTTCAAGCTCCATCAAAAGGTATGTCATCTAACTAGGCTTTGTAGTATAGTTGCTTCATATTATGCTAGTTAGGATGAAACCTTGGAATATAGAATATTTGCATGTATAATAGAGAAAACATAGATCCAAGGTTTATAGGGATGCATGTACACCATAAGAGTGTTAGAATGCTCAAACCCCTGCAGTGGTATCAGAGCTTAGACTTGTTTTCAATTATACTTGATGCTATTTGCAAGAAAAAATCGTTTTTTGGAATCCGCTAGTTCACCACGAGGTGGTAAAATTTACCACTAGGTGGTGACTGTTCAGTGATTTTTTTTTTTTGGCCTGTTTTGGATTAGAATCATTACCACAAAGTGTTTTTGTTCATAAAACTTGATTTTGATGTTATGGTAATGTTTATTCTCATCCAAATAAATGATAATTATCAAAGTTTCAAGACTTGTTTTAGTTTATGT